TGTCTCTGCTGTCACAATAGACAATGTGGGCAGCAGTGTGAAGATATAAGTCAATGAGTCTCAGCAAGCCAGTAATAGACCCATGAAATTCAGGCAGATTTTTGGCTGCAAGTCCCAAGTTGAGCTCCCTGTCCTCCTGCTGGGTTGAAGTCTGCAAATTTCTACTGCAGGTTCCAGCTGTCCTTCCCCTGAAGATAGTCCAGGTTCTGATGGAAGGTGGTGATCCCTCCAACTTACCAAGTACTGTGGTCTGGTGTGCCTTTATTGCAGAGATTTTCTTCACTTTTCCAGTGGGGTTCAGTTTTCATCAGGGAGCCTGAGAGAGGCCTTATTTCTGTTGTTCACTTCTGCTTTATCTTGTGGAGCTCAGGACAATGGCCTTTATGACCCGCTGGGCCTCTGTAGTGTAGAACCAGGTAGTGGCACAGCCAGGAGGCCAGAGGCCAGGGTGTTGAGGGCTGGGGGTGGGGTTGGGGGTAGTTGGGGTAGGGCCCTGCAGGCGCAGGCGGCTAAGCTGGTTGCTGTGGAATGGGGCGCTGGGACAGAGCTGGGCTCCCTGCTGCCGAGGTCCTCACTGTCTGTAGGCTGGTTGCTGGGAAGCTAACTCTTTTAAAACTCCTCTCTCCCACATACTTCCCATATGGGGCATCAGGGGGTCACACTTACCGTACAGTGGGGCTTTCACCTTGTACTGGACATTACAAGGAAGAGATGGCAGTACTCCTGGAAGTTGCTCCTGGGTTGGGATCACTAGCAATAACTTCACTATACACAAAAGGAACAATAAACTGCGCCCATGTGTCCAATAAATGCAAAATAAATCTGTTCTCAATTCATCCTTCCTATATCTGGAGCTCCCAAATGCCTGTGGAGAGTCTAATGCCACCTAGCAGAAAGGGAAGGGAGTGGTGAAGGGGACACTCACTGATCATTTAACTAATTATGGTTAAGCAACCTTCTTTTGCAAATTTTGCAAATATTTATGACTGAGAACAATGCCAGGGTCCCCTTAGGCCTTCAAAAGGCCCCTTTGTAATGAGGGGTCTGGAGCATGAACTTGGTAGTTTCAGTGCTCAGCTTTTTAGTATTGGCCTCAGTGGGTTTCCCATTGCCACCCGTGCCCTTGGGGCCCCTGGGTGCCTCTGACTCTGGAGATGTATTTGCTGGTTCTGTTCTTCTATGACTCCATGAAAATCTGACCTTATGTATATTTCATTCTCAGTACATCCATGGCCTTTGGGAAAAATTCAAAAAAATAGTAAGAACTGAAAAGGCATGGTATTATTTTAGTTTAAAGAGGAGAGTTTAAGCTGTCTTTTCCACGTGGATTATACATCTGTCCAATAAATAGAAATAGAATTAAATTCAACTTGGTTTTAATTGAGAACACACATTATGCAAAGCATGTGCAGTGTGGAAAACAGTGTGGCTAGACAAATTTTGGGGATTCACTAATCTTGGAATGGCACAAAATGATTAGGTAAACCTGCCTTAGTGACCCAATAGACAAGAATACTTTGCAAATCAGGAAGTCTAATGTAGAATTTGTAAACATGAGTATCTAGTAGCTGTCTATCTTCTTGAGATGGGTCCTGATTAAAGAGTACATAGGGAACCGATATTTTCATACTGAAATGATACTGTGTTGCAATAGCATATAATGAAATCATCAGTGTTGGCTTAGATTACTTAGACCATCAAAAGATCATGGATCATTAAAAAGCAGGTGGTTGTCATTTAACTCTGAAAAAGCCATTCATTCACATTTTCTGTGTCTTTCTATTTTCTGCATATGTAACAAATAGAATCAAATGTAATAGAATCAAAAGGAAATTGTCATAGAAGTGAATAAAAATGACCACATTTTCAGAATGATCACATCTTCAGAGGGAAAGTTATCGTCTTCATTTTAAGCTTTCTTAATATCCAAACCTACAATCCTTTTGATGAACTTTGTAGTTGGTGATCACTTTTGCTCTCAACACTGTCCAGATTTTAAGAGAATCATCTGCTCTCATTGTCCTTCTCTTGAGTTCCAAAATCTAACTCTCTACACGAATATGGAGATGAACCAAAGCAGAGATGTGCAGGGGAGGCAGAGAACCCCGCTGAGGGCCAGGAGAAGGCGCAGGAGGGAGCTGCTGACCATGCAGGGGTCAGTGGGATCACAGGCAGCCATGTGTCAGGGCAGCGGGCCCGTAGAAAGCCCTTTCCCCCCTCAATTCCAAGCCCCAGCTCCTCCCCGTCCTCAGGGCTCAGTGCCAGTGCCCTAAGTCACAAGTGGTGGGGTGTCAGCCCTAGTCTTTTGAGACATAAAACTTTTCCTTTTTGTCATAGCATTATTTCTCTTTAATTTAGATTTCTTTGAGACCAGAGTTCTTTTACATTTAAAGTCTCAGGAACTTGGAAAGAATGGGCATCTATATTTCATTTTAAACGAGACTTCTGTACCTCCGGAATGACAGGCTTTCTCTTTCCCTGAAAACTGCTTCTCAGGGAGCAAAGGAGCGGAGGCAAACATGAAGGCTGAAAATGCCTCATTCTGTGAGGGCCTGGTGTTTCCTGTGCTCCGTGAAGATAAAGGACAGTGACACGAGTGCTTATGTCACCAGCCTCCAATGTCTCTCTCTTTTATTTTTTAACAGAACAACAATCTCAATTTCTATGACCTTTATTAGATCTGTAAACTAGGCCAAAACAGGTCAGCCCTGCACCTCCAAGCACTCTTTACTGTCCCCTGGTGGCTAAAGTGAGAGAAACGTGTTCTTTAAGGACCAAAGCCAAAGAACCAGCAGATTGGTTCAATAATTCTTCCAGCGGGGAGAGAAAAGTTGGCATAATATTAACTGAATGTTGAGGACAATTTCGTTCCTCCCTTTTTCTAATCTTCTGTTTCTATTTTATAGCTCCCCCTGTTGGGCCCAGGTATTTCACTGCTGTCCACCTTTCTTCCCTCCCTCCATGGTTCCTAACACATTCCATACTGAAAGGAGGAGTTCTTCTCTCAGCTACCTAAGGTACATTTGGTACTGTAAGACCGTGGGCCTTACCAAACGCTCCGAGGAGCTGGCTACAGCGGCAATCACCCGGGGAGGAACACACCGGACAGTGGGAAGAAAAAAACAGACCTTTATTAGTCTGGCCAGACGGCACTCCCAAAGCAAGGTAGCTGAGAGAGGCAGCAGGCACAGAATCCAAAGCTATTTTTATAGGAGACTGAAGGGGGGGTTAACAGGCAGGAACGGGAACAAAGGTTTGTGACTCATTATTACATGCTGATGGTCAGCAGGCACACAGTAAGACCTTGTGACCACAGGGTCACGGCCGTCACGTACTGATAGTCAGCACGTCTGGTGACGGTTGTTCTACTGATAGTGAGTCCGGGAATTTTCCAAGTTCCGGGCAAACAAGAGGGTGGATGATTTAACTAAGAACTCTTAGTTACAGATTTTATCTGCTTAGCAAGCACATTTCTGACCACTAACTCTAAACAGAACAGAGGCAAGGGGAATAAATGAATTTTGAATCACACAGTCCCACATTCCCCACTGATTTTCTATAACCTAAGTAATCTTACGCATAAACATAGGCATCCACTGTATACAACAGCATGATACTAATAAGCAAATACATATGACTATAAAGACAAGGAATAATTGTTTTAACCATTGTAGGTTGGGCAGCCATGAGGTTAATCATTTAAACAGGTCTCCACCATCTTTGTTGTGTACTTTATTTGCCAGGTCCTCTAATTGTTCTATCTCCTCTTTGATTTTTTTTTTTTTTTTATTATCGGTCAAATTGAAACAACACATGTTTTTTATCTTTTCACAACCTTGGTGGTGGAAGAGCAACAGGTAATCTATTGTTGCTCTATTGTCTAAGATTGCCTGCCTTTGTTCTTGTAATTCTTGGTTGATCAGCGCCAAGGCTGATGAAGTGGCATTTAATCCTTTTACTACTTTACAAGCTAATTTTCGTACTGCTTTTTCAGCATGTACTCCTATAGACGGCATGGCAACCAGAGATCCTATCATGGTTAGTACTTCTGCATCTGTTAGCAGACCCACATCATCATCGCATCCTGGTGCAGTATAAGGTGACCACCGTTTAACTCTGTTAGGCACAATCAAATCAGTTCTATCTGGTAATACTATAGTTAATCGATTTAAACAGCAACGGGTTTTGGTCAAATTGGCTGGAATGTAGTTGAAAGTTTCTCCTTCACAGGTATAAAACCATCCCATTGGCAGGGAAACATGGCAGTTGCCATATACAATCTTTTGTTCTATTCGGCAGGCCATTTCTTTTAACCGTTTGATCTTCAAACATTTAGTTGTACAATTTTCATACACAGCACATTTAGTCTTATTTGACATGATCACTTTAGATGTATATAATTTGACAGCATTTTTAGGCTTATAACATGTGACAGGTCCCCAATTATAACTATCTACATAAGTAAGGTTCTTTCCTGGAATATCTTTAAATAAAGTATAAGGCCGTATTGACTCTAAAGGGGTGCATACCGGGATAAGACAATTTCCTAATACATAATGAAAATTTACATCAACACTTAAACAGAATTCAGATAGATTAAGTGAGTTTGCCAATTGAATCCATATATTTTTTGTGTGATCTAACTCCCCTGAGGGTAACACTGTCAATATCCTGGTAAATATCATCATGAGGGCGAAACGTTTCCAATTCGCTCCAATCTTAGCTTTGGGTCGCCCGGTTGGCTGGTTATTTTCCATTTATCCTTTTTGATGTCCGTGGGGGGTCCTGGCTTTAGATGGTTACGATGTATCCAGGCAGAATGTCCAGCCATTTTCATCGCCAAGGGAGTTGACAGGACAACAGGAACCGGTCCCTTCCAACGGGCTTCCAGGGTTTTGGAATCAAACCTGCGAATAAAAACCAAATCTCCCGGCTTATAGGGTAAAGGTTGTAACGGTTTTTCATTTGGACTAGTCATTTTCCTTCGTAATGTCTCATGTAGCTCTGACTGAAGCTGATGAACTGCCTTCAAGGATTTAAGGAGCCGAAGGTGGGAAAACTTTTCCTTTAGCTCTACATCTATTAATGGAATGATTGGGGGAGATCGCCCGTAAATAATTTGGAAGGGGGACAGATTGAGGGGAGGCTTGGGAGTGCACCTCATTCGGAGGAGGGCAAAGGGGAGAAGCTCTACCCAACCTAGTTCAGTCTCCAAGCAAAAACAGACCTTTATTAGTCTGGCCAGACGGCACTCCCAAAGCAAGGTAGCTGAGAGAGGCAGCAGGCACAGAATCCAAAGCTATTTTTATAGGAGACTGAAGGGGGGGTTAACAGGCAGGAACGGGAACAAAGGTTTGTGACTCATTATTACATGCTGATGGTCAGCAGGCACACAGTAAGACCTTGTGACCACAGGGTCACGGCCGTCACGTACTGATAGTCAGCCCGTTTTGGTGACGGTTGTTCTACTGATAGTGAGTCCGGGAATTTTCCAAGTTCCGGGCAAACAAGAGGGTGGATGATTTAACTAAGAACTCTTAGTTACAGATTTTATCTGCTTAGCAAGCACATTTCTGACCACTAACTCTAAATAGAACAGAGGCAAGGGGAATAAATGAATTTTGAATCACACAGTCCCACAGTACCTGCCCTATCTTTTTATTCCTACCCATCTCAATGCTCAACCATGTTCTGGATGGTGGCTGCCTAGGGTGAGTCTGTATGATCCAGAATGCCACATGTTTGTTTTCCAGTGAATTTATTTATGCCTCTCCTACATATGCAGTAGTTCTTGAAAATTCAACCTCCTCCAACCAGCTAAGATGATTAACAATCCTATTTGGAGCCCGGAGTGTTATTAGTTGCCTTGTCTCCAACATGTCTTTCCTTCCAGGCCTTCATTTTCCCTTCTACCAGCATCTCATGGTTGCTAATTGGAAGGCAATTGTCATTAAAAATTAGGCCTCAGGTGCTATGGGAAAAGTCTGGGAATCCAGATAGTAAATTGAGGAGTCTGTCTACTTGTGTTACTTTTTCCATCTTTTATTTCTGATGCTCCAAGAGCATATTTATAAATTTATAAAAATTATATTAAAATTTATAAATTTATAAAAACATATTTATAAAACCAGTTGGCTAGAAAGCCACACTGATGACACTCAAGTTATGGATTAAATTCTCACCTGAGTAAGGAAGCAACGTTCTTATTTATAGACACACACTGAAAACACAATCCATGAAAGACATTGAGGTCATAGGAAAGACTGAATGGTAAGGCAAATATTACAACTCAGAGCATTGATGGGGAAAGATTAGGTGTTATATCAAATGTGGAATCTTGTAATGATAGAGTTGTAGACTTGGAAGTGATTTGAGAAATAACTTTTTCCATTCTTTTGCCTAGCTTGGTAACACCACTTAACCGTTCTGACAGACGGTTGGGGATGTCCAGAGTTGAGAAACTTACTACCTGGTGTGGTAGTTTGGTCCACGACCAGAAACTGCATGTGTGGGAAGGTCAGGGGGCAGGTCTGAGGTGAAAGCTCAACTTCTTCATCTCTAATGTCTCTAAACCTAGCCTGATCTTAAACTTTGATCCCAGAAACCCAAGGAGCACTATATGACTGTTTCCTGCAGAGTTGTTTAAGGCTACGGTGGCAGTAACATGAGGAGAGAAAAAGACTGCATCTGATTTTCCAGTGATTGCCTTGTGCACAGGAAAATGGGAGATAATCATTGGGAAAACATGGTAAGGACAATTTAGAAGATCAGGTTGTTTTAGGGTGCCTCATCTCCAGGCGAAGCAGGGAGAAAATGGGATACATTCAGACAAGCTGTGTTCAGTAGTGAAGCTCTGATTCTCAATCCATTCGCCCCTTATTCCCTTTGATATTATTTGGGCTTTGAAGCTTAGGTCAACTCTAGAAGGTAGAACTGTCAAAAAGAAATGTGCAAAGGGCTTTGGGGTTTGGGTGGCATGGAGAATACTTAAATGGGAGTAACGAAGATGAAAGAAGCAGCCTGAGCTAGGGAACACCAGGGGGAATAACACCCCTCCCCTGCTCCCCTGGGTGGCCATTAAGATAATGCATTCATTTAACAAATGCTCATTCTGCACTAGGTACATTGCCTCGTGTGCACCCAAACCACAGACATTGCACAGTAGATGGGTGTTGTTTTAGTCATTTGGGACTGTTGGTCAATTTTGGAAAGGAAATCATTGTGATGGTTTAGCCAGGTGCTACAAGTTCTTTTAACATTTGGTAGAAATTGTCAAAGAACCCATGTGAAGGGACAACAGAAATGGAAGAGAAAACTCTCTTTAAGTGCAAAGGATGTTGTCTTCTTATGTGTTGCCACATGGTTTGCTATTTGTTCTTTGCTGTACTTATTTTCTCTTATGTACATTGATGTAAATCCCAGTTGAGGTGGTCCAAACATTAATAGTGAAGGCTACTGTTTTCTGGGTATTTTCTCAAGCTGTGTCTATAATTTGGTACTTTAGTGAGATCAGAACCCCTCCTCTCCCTGGGATCCAGACATTGCCAGCTTAGCCAGAGAATTTAGCCCTTGACTAGCAGGTCAGGGAGTTTCATTTGAGTCTGGTCAGATGATGTCAAGCAGTAAGTCCCGACGCTGTGTCTTCTGCTAAGGAGAAAAATACCCCAAAAATCCGAATTGGAGCTCAATAAATATTCATGGACAGCTTCTTAAAACAAGGAAGAAGGGCGATATAAAAACCAAAAAATTTGTGTAGCCAGACCCCGTGACAATTCCTAAGGATACTTTTTTTCCTATCAATCTTATCCAAGCATAACTAAGTCTCCAATAGTCCCTGCTTTCTGATTTTCAAGGGCTTGTATAGTTTTCTCCCCTTGACTGTGGTCTGCACTCAGTGGCTCACTTTTCATAGTTAATTTGTGAACCAGATGGAGTGGGGACACCTGTAATTTCAGTAGTGTGGGAGGTTGAGACAAGAGGACTACAAATTCAAACCCAGCTTGTGCAACTTCATGAGACTGTGTCTCAAAATTAAAAAGTCAAAGAAAAGGACCAAGGATGCAGCTCAGCATGAAGACCCTGGGTTTAATCACAAGCACTGAAAAACCACCCTAGACCCTGGAGTGTGACAATAGTAACAGGGCATCACTTCCAAAATTAGGTTACAAAAAGATTTTGGCTTCTATTTTGCTTCTCTTATCTCACTCTGTAGCTTTCTCCTTGTGCTGAAAGGCAGACGCCAAGCTGTGAGTTGGCTGGTGGACAAATCTGCATGACAAGCTACCAAAGAGGCCCCCAGCCAACAGCCATCTGGGATCTGAGGACCTCAGTCCACCGGCCTTGGAGGACCCATGGGTGAACCTGACAGCAGACCACCTCCCTGCGGAGCCTGCAGATGAGAGCACAGCCCTGGCCAGCCTTGATGGCAGCCTCTTGGGAACCCTGGAGCCAGCAGACCCTGCTAAGCCACATTTGCAGTCCTGACCACAATTATCAATGATGAAAATGACCATAGATGCGGATTTCGATGAAGTTTCATGACACCTGGATCCAAAAACAGAACAGTGCCAGTATCCTAGGAGCTCTCTGACGTCTCTCCTCCAGGTGTAACCACCATCCTGACTTTGAATTTTGTAGATCAGCTTTGCCTATTTTGGTCACTAAATGAATAGAACCATGTTACAGTATGTACTTTTTAATGTCTGGCTTCCTTTTCTATATTAGGTGGCAGTTCTTTTGTATTATAATATTTTATACCATATGTATTTTATAAATACGTATTTATTTTATTGTGCATATTTATTTTAATCTCCACATGTTAATTGTACAAATATGCCACATTTTATTTGTCCATTCTATTATAGCATATTTTAAAACATATTCCTAGGAGTGGAATGAGTAGTTTATTCTGTGCATTCTCACTTAGTAGATAATGCTAAATAGTTTTCCAAAGGGATTTCCACCTTACCAGTCATGCCCAAGGTCAATCTTATATTGCATTATTTCAGCAGGATTCTTTGTCAATTCTCAGTTCAGCACAGGACCAAGGATGCCATGGTATTTTAATGGCATACTTTATTGCTAATTCTACTAGCAATAAGAAGAATAAGGTGATCTTTTGAATACTTACTTGTTTGGAGTACTAGTTTTCAGAATGCAAGATAGAGCCAGCACTTCATTGAGTGTGATTACTTTACATATACTGAGCATTAACAGGATGAAACATTAGCAGCTAGTTAGAATACATAGAATCCATGTTGTCCTTAAATTAGACTTTTTAAAAAATAGCCAGGATTAAGGAAAAAAATCAAAGTCTAAAGCTTTTATCTTATGTTTCCAATATGGAGGTTATTTAAGTGAGCCTGGATTTTTTAAAGCTTAAATTTCATGGATAATGGCCTTTATTTTCTGGATAACATTGCTAGCAAAGGTACCACTGAAGCCTATTGCTTTCCACAATAGAGAAAGCTTTTATTGTATTATACCTATTATTCAATTTCATGTCATAATAATATTTTGTTGATCTACATGGGTTTTTAGCTTTGTGCACTTGATAAAGTTAATCGGAATATTACCAAAGATACCCAGCATTTCTTTGTAATGATCAGCACAAAAGGGGGATTCCTTTATTGGAGCTATAATTTTTGAATTCATGGTTATAGCTAAGACAAAAGAACAATTTTTATGAGCTCAGCCTGTTTCTATAATAATAGTAAAGTAGCAAGAAGCAAGTTTGGCAATAATAGGACTACACCCTGGGCACTTCTGCTTCAATGGGCTGCGTGTGGGTGGAAAATGCATGGTGGGGCGTGTCCTTGTCATCTGAAAGTCCCAGTGAGGTACGGATGTCCAAATATGAAGTATGGATACTGTCAACCACGGGGTTGTGCCAGCAACAGCAAAAGATAAGTGAATGAGAATTTTCTATTTGTACACTGAATGTCCCTGTAACTCAAAGAGAATTCTTTTCTCTCTGATTTGAGCAAATTTAGACAGTGGGCAAGAATAGCATGAAAAAATTACAATCAGACTGAGAATCTTAATGAGGCAGATTTTAAATGATTATAAAATTATCGCTCTTTCCACTGACAGATGAGCTCACATTCCCTTTCCTCTTCAATATACCGAGTCTTCCGTGGTCCCTGCCCACAGTGATTTCTTGACTGCCCAAAGTTTAGCTGTTAGGAGCTTGTGTGTCACATACTTCCATCAGTGTCTCGCTGGGACAGCCTCCACTTCTACTTTTCCCACTTGGGCCCTGGATCATCTCATTTCCATTATGAACCCCGCTGTGGCTGCACCCCAAGTCTCACACTGTCCTCACTTGTCTTGAGTTAGGCCTTCCACTCCATCTCTTTAGGCCCTGCTCTCCTTGACCCACTCATAGTCTTTCGTTCTCTATCCAGTTCCTTGCTTAGACCTTCTAACAGCTGTACTTCGCAATGCAGCTCGGAAATAACAAATTGCAACTCTGAGACATTTGCAACTCTAGCCGGTGCCTTTGTTTCCGGCCCTCCCTCTGCTTGCTGGCCTCTCACCTTCTCCTCACCAAGCTAATCGGGCCCAGACTTCCTCTTCCCTTTAGGTTGTTACACAAATTCTTCTCTGTCGCTCTCGAGCTCAT